TGCGCCTGCCACGAAATCTGCACTCCAAGTCCCACAAAGTCCTGCACATGCCACCAAATCTGCACTTCAACATCCACAAAGTCCTGCGCCTGCCACGAAATCCGCACTTCAACATGAACAAAGTCCTGCGCCTGCCACGAAATGTGCATTTCGAGGTCCACAAAGTAGCATTTCAAGGTCCACAAAGTACTGCACCTGCCACGAAACACGAAAAAAAAAATCAAACAAATCCTAAATTAAATCCGAGCCCCTTATAAAACGAAATTGTAGTAATTTTTACCTGACCTGGGTAACGTGGAGGCCTTCGATATTGTAGAAATGGACGTTGTGCGAAGTAAATGTATCTATGGCCTTGTATTTTGTAGATGGAAAGATGTTCTGCATTGGGACGTCGTGCAACTCATTTTCCAGAAAGTATGTTGTAGAGAATCTATGTTAAAGGTCATAATAAGAAGGAAAATATTCTATAGAGATAACAGTGTCCTTTGTGTTTTGCCTTCCTGTTCGCCGGAGCTTTGTCAAGGAGGCCCATAAAGAAGTGTGTGTCAGCTCAGTTGCAAAAAAGGCAACACATAGGAGTTGATGGACAATGAAAAAGAACACACATTGGCACAGCAGGCTACCAACCCTTGGGGATGGATGGTGCCAAGCGTAATGTGTGTGACAGACAGACCAGTGTGTGCAGAAGATGTCAGAATCTATAGAATGGGTGGGAGGCATTTTTTTGAATCGTCAGTTCTATAGAATACTTGTGGTCGATGCAACAAAGATAAAACATGTCTACAGAATACCTCGCACGACGTTTGGCTATCCGAACATAGCCCTGTCTACAGAATAAAATTCCATCGTCAGCCATGTCATCTTGCCAAAATCTCAAATGTTCAAAGACATAGTGTTTTTGCAATTTTCAATCTTGCAAGATAAAAAGGCATTATGTCAGAAGGCCACTCATTCTGTAGACTGGGGGGACCTCAGCTCAGCTATTCTGGAGCAGGCAGGCCGGTTTTGTACCTATAGAATGGGGGCCCCAACCCTTACCCCTAAATTCACACGGGGATCCAAAATAATATATCGAGATCATATCTATCTATATAAAACTGTTCTGCGATATATACTGTTCAAACCTCGCACAACATTGCGAGGGATTCTCTTTTTTACAGTTTGCTTGCGAATCACACTAGATTCTCAAACCAACCCATTCTTTTAGCAACGATCAGTAACCTTTGGTGTTGATGGACATAGGCAGGCCTTATAAAGCAATGATTTGATAGGCAAAGATGTTCCTGGAATAAGGACGACAACAACAACAACAATGAAGATTGACTTATTTTGTCCTGTCGATGCTCCGTCAACTTCAACTTCTGCAACCCAGTAACCCGGACAAAAAAATCACTGAGAAGCGATGAAGCACTCACAAGGAAGGTCAACCATTTAAGACTTGTCACTGGACACATGTGCCTGTTTGGACATGCATAGCACAAGCCCAGATTCTTTCGGAGGGTGCCAAAAGACAGCTAGAGCGAGCTGGACGGCGCTTCCGCTGTGAAACATAGGATAGGACCATGTAATTATATAAAAACATGCAGCGGTCCATCGGCACCACGAGAAATCTCGAACTCTCCTCCGAGTGGGTTCCTACTGAGGATCCCCTGCAGGATGGAATTCCGTGCTTGTGGTTCCCAGCTCCCAAAGCGGCCACGGTGATCCTTTTCTTTCACGCATCTTGGACCAAGCTCCGGGTTCCGCATGACATGTGAATGAGCAGGACGCCAGGGTTGCCTTGGGATACGAACAGCTGGATGCAGCTGGGATGAATATTGGATCAGAGAGAATGAGAGGGCTCTTTGCAAAGACCCAGACCTTCATGTGCAGATTTCAGATTTGGTTGAGGTATTGGAGGAAATGGAAAGTCCATGAAACTCCAAGTTGGGTGCTTTTGACCTTGTGAGTGGATACATTGCGATTCCAGACAACGACAGACATAGAGGTTCAACAAAAAGAGGCCAGAGCCAGAACATCCAGGAACACCTCCAGGAGTCCTTCTGCTTCACTGAGGATTTGTTGAACAAAAGCGTCCTACCCAGGAAAAGTTGACAATCTGTTGTTTTCAGCGAGAATTTTGGGGAATTTCAGACACCCCTTTGTCGACAGGAAGGAGGTCGAAAGTGCAGTGAACCTTCATTGACCAACGGAGGGAGCTGAAGCCCTGGCCATCAGTCGTGGAGTTGAAAGATGCACCCTGCTAGCTGCTAGACCTCGAGTTGGTTTCCTGGGCCCTGCTACACCAAGAAGCCTGGAATTTTTGTTGATTACTCTTGAATGTTATACTATTGATGATATTCGCTAGTTTCTAAGTGTGTACCTGCAAAAACTAAACGTAGTGCTATGTAGTGCTTCTGGTGAGTGGAATACCTTCTTTGTCTTGATGTTGTGCTTTTTGTTTTGGATAGTATTATTTGCTTTTACATCTAATGTATATGATATGGTTTTACAATGTTTTACATACAACATGTAGACAAGACATGATAGGACCAAAATGGATTCCTCAGTCACTCCATTATATAATTCAACCGAACAAACTCACAAGCACCCCGGTGGGAATGCTTGCCACCCCAGGATCTTTTTTTCCGTTCAACCATCTCAGGTCACATGTTTCCACACATGCCGTTTTCCTGTTCGCACCAGGCCATCCTGGGCCATCAACCCCATCAACTCACCGTCTTCCCATTGATGACCTTCCTTCGGTCGGTGCGCTGTCGCCGTCGGCCAAACCGGCGTCGCCGTCGGGCGAACTGAGGCCAATGCGGAAGATTTGGGGATGTCCTTTGCGATCTTGAAGCACATGCGCGACTGAGCTGGAGTCGGAGTGTGGGTGTGAAGTACGGCACAAGGCAAACAGTAGGGTGCTGCTTGAAAAAAAAAAAATGCTATGCTCTCCAAATCCTGTTGGAAACGAGTAGATGGACGTGTAATGACCTTCAACCAGTGGACATCAGCGGGTCTCATGTCCTGATCGTCCTTTGGTGCTTGGGCAAAACGTGGTCCTCGTGCGTCACGGAACCTCTGACGACGTCCACATCGCTTTTCTTTGACCATGAAAGCCACTCTTTGGACACCACCCCAATGTAGGCAATCATTCATGGAAATGGATATCATTCTTAGTTGTCAAGCCCTATGAAACTCTGGCTCAACAAACCAGCCGCGTTTCGCGTTCTGCCCAACCAGCGCGTTCTTCCGGCGCCGTGGATCATGGTGCCTTGTGGATCTGTCCATGTTGGGGAGAGGAACTGATCCTTGCCACCCCAGCTAGATGTTATGGGTTGACCTAACCCAAGCATGTGCGATGCAAGGATGTGTTTGTTTCTACACTTCAAGTCGGGTCCAGGTTCTTGATCAGTCCTGGTGCCGCCTTGATATACCGGTCCATGGTCTGACGTGATCAGTTCAAGGTGATCAGTTCAAGGTCAACGTGCTGGCCGTGGAATATCCAGGCTGACAGCGTGAGTCTTGCTGCAGGGGACGGCATGCGGCATGCTGGCCCTGCATGTTGTCATGTCGATGTTGTTGAATGGTCCACTTGATCCACTTGTGTAAAGACGAGTCTCCAAACATAAAAGCAATCGATCTAATCACTTGGACCCTCCAAAGTACTCTAGAAAATGGGACATGATTCACTATAAAATAACACAGTTACGGTACGACTGTACTCATTTTCGAATCCAGGTAGATGATGAATCGACTCTGACATGATGGATGTAGGATGGACACCGGCTCCCAAATGATGTAAGATTTGGACATGATCCAAATTTAAATGGACACAAGGGATGTATATTATATATAATTAATAGGGTATAAGAACCCCATCCTCAAGGGTCCCCGGCATCGTGTTTCCAGTCTTCCGAAGTCCTTTCATGAAGACTTGGAGAAAGTTCTTCATTGAGCCCCTATTGAATCAACACGTGGAATGATATACAACATGCAACACAACGATTGTATTGGATCTTGCTGGGAAAAAGATAACTTACCTATGACTTACTGTATATGGCTGTGGGTCAAAACCTGGGCACCCAAGTTGACCTCTGAACATGAACAGATTCCTCCAAAAAAGTGATGTCAACCTCCCATGCTTTGGTGGGGAGGTTTTGAGTCCTTTTGAACCTCTTCTCACCTCTGCGCGGTCTGAGACCGCTGCTCCCGCAGAGGCTATGGGTTGCTGCATCATTTGGATGCCTCGGAAGATGCGATTTGCGAGGTCTCACTGACAGCGCCTTGGCGTTGGGAGTCAAGACCACCGGTCCAAACGGAGAGGCTTCGGAGGGACCAACGAACATGCCGTACAGGTCCAAAGTGCAAGTAAAACCAGGTTCTTGACCTCATTGAGTAGTGTTTTTGTATGACCAACTCCAGTAAAATGAGGTCAAAACGACTCGGGGATGAATAGAATCAAAACGACCGATGCGGTCAACGGGTCTACCGTTCGGCTCCTCCATGGTAGCCGGACTCCCGGACCCCTCACCCTATCTGTTTGGCCCGGATTCGGTTAGTACGCCCTAAAGACGCCCTAAAACTCGGTCCCAAACGACCGCCTTTTGCACAGAAACTATGACCTTCCTTTTTAGGGTATACGGGACTAAGCTGGAATAAGGCCTGGAAGCTCTAGGGAAGTGCAAACTGCAAACTGGAACATGAGTTTTTTACATTTCATGTCCCTTTGCTTCTAGGGCCCCAAAAAGACCAATTATAAAGTTGCTTTGTCGTTTTAATAAGGCCTCTTGTTCAAGGGTACCAACGAACGAACTCGGGTCCAAATCCTCACTTGCCGCGGTCGAAGCGCAGAACCTTCGGTTCGATGGGGTGACGTAGACCTCGCATCTCCTTTTTGGGTTGGCTCTTTTGAGACACCCCATGGGCGACCGGAAGTCAAGGAAATGCAGAAACGGAGTGGAACAGATGGGAGGCTTTCGGTCTGTTTTGGTCCTCCAGAGGCCTTCCGCTTCTTGGTGGATATCATTGGTGTCCGCTACTCGCAGATCATCCTCTTCGGTCGCTCCTTGGGGCCTCTTCGACCAAAAGTTCGGGGACGCGCCGGGCGCGCGGATCATCCTGGTGCACGGACTCTTTTTTCAAGAAAGCGAACAGGGACATGAATGATGCACAAGTTACGCCCTGAAAACGACTGGGCTGTAGAGGAAGATAGTCTTCCAGGGTTCTTCCATTTTAATTTCATTGTCCAGCTCCAGGAACCGTCTAGGAATGGTGCGCGAGAGAGGCGTCGTTGTCGTCGTTGTCGTTGTCGTTGTCGTTGTCGTTGTCGTTGTCGTCGTGGTGGTGGTTGTGGTTGTGGTTGTGGTTGTGGTTGTGGTTGTTGTGGTTGTGGTTGTTGTTGTTGTTGTACCACGCCATCTTCCTCCCCAGTGCACCAGGGAGGAATATAGCCACTGTGCAAGGCACAAGCAGGGTGGAGATGACTCACCAGGGCAGTTTTGCTACCAGGAAACAGCGTCTTGATAGAGAAACCACATTTGTTTGTGTCGGTTCCCTGTAGCATGAAGTGTCGTCGGTAAACGCCCCGCGCCGAGCAAACAAATTCCCTAATTTGGTGTGCAGGATCACCCGCCTGTGACAAAAACAATTGGTTCAGGCAACCTGCTGCTGCATGCAGGGCCAACCTGTGGCACGGGTCGCCCCCCTCTTACGCTCCAAGCGGACATGTGAGGGTGACTAAAGTAAGGTGGAACATACAAAAATGCAAACGATATAGCTATCAAAAGGTCACCGATGCGTCTAAGGCTGTGTTCAAAATGCAGGCAGTCAAGCTAACTGCGCATCATGGCTGAACACAACCTGCACCAACCCACAGCTGCAACCTCAGACGAAACTCTAATGCAACTGTGTCATAGTCTGGACATGCTCATAGCAAAGACAAGTCTTGGCCTCGTCAACAAGGAGAGTTTCAGCTGTTTGAAAGAAACTATACAGCCCAAACCTGGCATATGTGCCTGTGGATTTGATCCAGGCGACTCTTCGCCTGAACGGTTTTGTTTTATTGTGTTTTTGCTGCCATGTCAGAGGGTCTTGTTGACTTGAAGACCAGTTGGTGAAGAACAATAAACCAGCTGGGTTCGCTCCATCCTCCAAACCAAACCTTCACCTTTTTGAAGTGCTTTGATGATTATATAGGGCATTACTGAAATACTCATGACTCATATTGTCTCCCATGTTCTGACGTTGGGGGCATCCAAAAGGTTTCAACGGTCAACCACTTCACTATACCGTTCGATCTTCACCTCAAAACCACGTGTTTCTCCACAGATCGAGTGCAGTGCCGAACTTGCAACGTCGGGCGGAGCAGCACGAGGAGCGGCCCGGCCATCTATTTGGCCTCTCGCTTTCCGGTGGGCGGACTGCCGCTCGGCACCCTGCTGGTGGGTATGATGGGTTTGCAGACCAAAAAGGCGTCAGGGTGACGAAAGGATGAGGCAGATGGCCAATGCAGATGAGTATGCCAGGTAGTATGCCAGATGGTGGAGGCAGATGAGTATGCAGATGGCCAAGATGGGTGGCTGTGATTCTGCCATAGATCCACCAGGTAGTCCAGCAGGTGCTTCCTGGAAGCGGGTCACCTTTTTGGACAAGCCCACGCTGGGTTGCGCAGGGGCTGTGAAGGATTGCACTGAATTCAATTCTGGCGATATACCCAGTGGAGTACCCACTGGATCCATGGAAGCACGACTCCAGGTTGAGTTTATCCCAAGTGGTGCCCGGGTGAATCTCAAATTGCAAAACACAAAGGAAAGCAACATACTTTGTTTGCCCAAACAAAAAGCTTTGAATCTCACACGATGCTTTAAACATGTCTTTGGAATGGGTTCCAAGAACTGATTGATTTACTTTCTGAACATCTGAACCTGATCATTTTTATGGAACACATATACTCTATATATATATATGTGTTAATCATTTTCCAAGTTGCTCATGGCTGCTCAGCGTGCTTTCACCTATTGCGGATAGCAATAGCAATAGACAACCTGTTGAATTGGCTCCTGGTATGTCTTCCAAGAGTGCAAAACTCCTGCTTAGCGGTCTTCGTTCTGGTTCACCTGCTACCCATCAGACATGACAAGGCTGCACCTTCGTCAGGAATGCTTCGCCACCTTTCCGGTGTGTGTAGGCAGGAACCCGCAGCCTTGTTTGTCAGAACTCAGAACAATGAGAAGAGATGGGGCAAGCATGTGATGCAGTTCTTTGTTTCGTTTGTCGATGAAAACAAGGGAAGATCCGATCTCTGAAGGGAAGATCTCTTCACCTGCCTTCACCTTCGATCCGCGCCGCAAACGAGGATCTTGGTCTCTGCCTTCCTTTCGATCCGCGCGGCAGCCGCTGGGAGCGAACTGGGTGGTGTCGCTGGGTGGTGTCGAGTGGTGTCGAGATCGGTGGTGTTGAGTCTGAAGAGAACCCGGAAAGTTCGGCGTTGACCATTTGGGGGAGAACCTTGTTTCCCGAACAACCCGGTGTTTTGACTGGATTTGACACAGCCAAGCCAAGGAAAGCAGTGTTTTTTGGTGGTTGGCTGGAAGGCTGGAAGGGAAAGTGGTCTCGAAACAAGACCGGGAACGATCTGGGTTTCCGGGAGGAGAAGCTCAGAAGCTCCTGGTGTCCGACCTTGGTATCTGTAGTCTTCCTGGTTGGATGCCGTGAGAAGGGGGACAAAATGTGAGAGAGTGCTCCATGGATCCAGAAGGTGTTTGGACCTTCCTGGCACCTATTGAAGGGGGTGTCAAACACATCACCTTCTCAGAAGGTGAAATCTGAGGAGACCTTGACGAATTTGAAGCTTCACGGTGAAATCTCAAGCTGACCATCGTCATGGCGACCGGTCAATTCAGCGAATCTGACGGCCAAGAAGGGGAAGGAACGTTTACTACCAAGGTTGATGATGAACAACTAGCATATGTAGCATTCAGCTTTCCATGGCGACCGTTCAGCCAGCGAATTCCACCAGCACTGGACCAAGGGGGGTTCTTGATGAAGATCCATGGGTTGGAACGCAAGCACCATCGATATGTCAAGCAAGCACTTCTACCTGACGACGTGCTTCCAAGCGGTGCCAAGCTGAAACTTGATCCCGTTCTGACCCAACTTGAGTCCCAAAAGGCGAACGTGCTTCCACTGAGGACGTGCTTCCACTTCCGATGCTTCTTAGGCCAGTTACTAGTAATGGCCGAACTTGGCGTAGCATCTTAGTTCGCCAAAAGAATGCTCCACACTTCGGCCAGCCCCAAAAAAGGGGCCTTCACTCCTAGTACATCCTAATACCAGTCCACCTGCATGGCCTTCTACCTGCGGGCTTGCGGTAAGACCGACGCAAGACGAAACACTCCGAGGTGCAAAGCATCGGTGGCTATTTGCTTTCCATGGCCTTCCAAGAGCGCTTCCCCAATAGCCACCTGGTCAGATCTGAAGGGTGCACCGAACTGTGGAGATCAGGCAGTTCTCCAACATCCGATGAGGATTTTCCTTAAAGTTGGTTGAAAGGTCTGGTTGTTTTAGGATACTTGAGGCGATGTTGGGGGGATATGTTGATAGTCTTTCCACCATATTTTTGTTGGGCTGCAGTAGCAAATTTACGTGACGTCGTTGCTGAGCTTGGGGCCACGGTTTGGCGTCTCGACCCCCAGCACTAAACCGGTGACCGAGCTGTGGAGATCCAGGGAATCAGGGGGGTCGAGACGCACCGAGTATGGGAGTCTTTCCACTCAAAAGGACTTCGGAGGTTGTTCCAAGAAGCGCATGTGGTGTTCCAAATAGGGTCCGAGCTCATCATAGAATTCACATCGATCTCACATATACTCGGACCCTATTTGGGTCAGTCCTCACACTTGGGTCAGTCGAGCCGGTGAAGAAAGATGGATTCAGTGGAAGCGGCGCCAAAACATGGCGCCCGAACGTGCCCCTACACAGAGAGAGAGAGAGAGACAGTGCCAGGATCAAATTGGTTTGCTGAAAGAAACAATCTTGCGTCACCTGAGATGCACCAAACCCTGAAGACTGTCGATTTGGTTGCCTAGGATTTTTGCAGGATTTCAGCAAAAAGATTGTCCTAAATTGGATCCATGAGAGATTTGGTGTTCAGGAACCGATTCTTGTTCAAGCCGGGCGCTTTGTCATATTGCTATTTAGTCCAAGAATCCAAGAAGCAGCTCTAATATGTTCAATTCAGAAAGTTGTACACAGTATATTATATATATACCCTACAAGTCCAACTACCTTGTTTAACTTGGTCGTTAGCATTTC